AACCCTCGATCTTGTATTCTTGTGCTCTTCAGTCTGTGGATTCAGACCCCCTCACCTCTGCTGCAGTGATCAGGGAGCTGTGTGCTGCCAGGCACACTTTGGTTTTGAGGTGGATCTCTCCCTCCCCGCCTACAGTTGAAGATTGGTGTAAAGAACTAGAAGTAGTAAGCAATAGACAGGAGAGAAGAGATAAAGAAGGGAAAGAAAGAGAGGGGGGTAAGAGATGCATGAGTCGAGAAGGCAAGAGGGGGAGAGGGTCCCATCCGGTCTCGACACTAGGAGAAAAAAGGGGATGAGAGCACAGAAAAGGGATAAGTAATTAACCACCGCTGAAGAGCATCATGTGCGTCTGAGCCCCTGAATAGATGCCACATCGTCCATGTTTTTAGGTATCTGGACATGTCATCTGTGCTGGAAAAGATAAGAGGATGTGGTGATTTCAATGTCTAGGAATCACGGTTTTCGCCGCGTTCAGCAGATGTATTGGGAGGGATTTTTTGGAGACGTGCAGAGCTTCATCAAAATTATATAATGAGAGAGGCTGGGGAGAATTCTAACAAAACACCAGTTATGGTTCGAAGTAGGGCATAATCCACTGTCCGAAAAGGTGAAATCAGTGGGCATGACCACCAGATATGGAGGAGTGTGCCCACCTCATAGTTTCATCACCAACATCTATTCAAGGGCATCTGGATAGATACGATGGAGATGTACTGGGGTCTTGTACCAGCGCAAGCGAAGTTTGTAGTCTCCTGGATTTGAACGTTTAAGGAGCCACCCAGCAACAAAGAATCCATGCGTTCCCATTCCTGAGAATGTAGTGGACAAATCGCATTCCCACACCCTTGTGGAGGGCGTCGATGGAAGGGTAGAGGAATCGTTCAGAAGGGAATAAATCGCTGATATTGCATGAGTTACCCAAAGGGAGGAAGTGCATAGCTTCTCGAATGGACTTAAAGAGCAGGAAAAGGAGCCTCTGTTCATGCGGGAGTTGAGGAAAATAGGATTTTGGTACTCACCGTAAAATCCTTTTCTCTCCGTTCATTGAAGGACACAGGGAACAGATCGGAGATCCTGTAGTGTAGGGTAATATCGCCACCTGCAGGAGGACGCTAGGCACAAAACTAAAGACCAATCACAGCCTAGGAGCGGCCCCTGCCGGTGGCCAAAACCCCCCACCTGCTGACAAGTCTCCAGTTTAGTAACAAGCAGTAAAGGAGTATACACCCATATAGAGGGGCGGGCCCTGTGTCCTTCAATGAACCCCCACAGTCCATGTCCCCGGCAATATAGTTGCTAAACTCCAAGAGAGACTCCAAGGATCCGGGACATCCAGCCTGTCGCCCGGACAACACTTGCTAGAAGATTCCACTGAAAAAGATCAGGAAGAAGCAGGTAAGAATACCCGAAAAAAATTCTTCGCTCCTTACTCCTGACGCTAGGCAAAAAACTGGAGACTTGTCAGCAGGTGGGGGGTTTTGGCCACCGGCAGGGGCCGCCCCTAGGCTGTGATTGGTCTTTAGTTTTGTGCCTAGCGTCCTTCTCCTGCAGGTGGCGACATTACCCTACAGTACAGGATCTCCGATCTGTTCCCTGTGTCCTTCAATGAACGGGAGAGAAATGGCAAATTTGTAGATATGACCATAATGGTAGGGAAGAGGGGCACATGGCATTCAGGTCTGCGTGAGTTCGGAATGCACGCTGTCGATCAAAGAACATGTGAGCAGTCGAGGAAGCATCGGGGGACCAAATGAACAGGAAGGATAGGTGAAGACTGGGGGGGAAGGCTGGGTTCATGCGGACTGGTGTAAGGGCACCCAGAGCAGAGGAGAGGGTCATTCTTTTGTTTACGGTGGCAAAGATGCGCAAGGAGGCACCTATCGTTGGGTGAGTTAACACCTGGGCCGGGAGATGGGGGGCGTTGTAACCAGGGCCAGGAGCTGATGGGGATGTCTGACAAGATCTTTTGGATACGAACCCAGTCTTTGCAGGAGGCATGAACTGACCCAATCTATAATGCGGGTCAGGTGAAAAGCCCAGTGGTATCGTTGTACGTGGGGAAGGCCAATACCCCCTGAGTATTTGGGGCGAGTGAGGGTTTGGGTGCTTATCGGTGGGGAGCCGTTATTCCAAAGTAAAAAAAAAAAAATCGAGGGTTGTACTATGTTTTTATTGCGTTTTACTAATTATTTTTGAAAGTTTCAATAAAAAATAGACCATTTTCTAGGATCCAATACTTGCCAGTTTTCTACAGGAGGAATGTATACTGTGGTATGTGCTGCACTGTCCACTGCAGATTATGCTATACTTCCCTTGCTGCTGGGCATTTTGTACCTCCCTAGTAATTTATTTAAGCTGTCCAATTGAGCACAGACAGGATGTCTAGCAGAAGCACAATTCAGTGGAGGGACAGCTGAATCACCTGAAGCTCCAGAAGGTGAATCGAGTTTGAGTCAAACATCTCTGCACTGCTAGGGTGCCCAGAATTTCACCGTGCCAGAGAATTTTACATTAGTCATAATGACATTTCAACTGCAGGGGAATTTAGTACCGACCTGGTGAATGGGCTGAGGCAGGTGAACCACCACATCAGAGAGGTCCACGTCTAAGGCCAAAGTCTAAAATTTCTGTCAAGGGACATAGGTGTACCCCTCTTGTCTTCTGCAGGGTTCTGTGCAAACTGGATTGCGTCAGCAGAGCACACCACAAGACCAAAAAGTCTCATACTTTTTCCCAGGGTTGTAAGATATCTTTTCCTGACGCGGGAAAACCCTTGCCAGCATCATGAGCAGGGTAAGACCCAAAATACTCCAGGCAATGACATGGGTTCGGTAAAGACTCTTGGGCATTAATTAGTCAACTAAACTACCCTAAGGCCTATGATATGTCTCAGATGGCTTTTATGCAGCAACTACTAAGCTCTGAAGAGAAGATAGTCAAAGTATCCAATTACGGAAAGGCCACTGACCCTAAACAGAGCTAGCCAGGGGACAAAGTACTTTGGTAAACATTTGTGGCATCGATATAAGTCTAATCAGGAGAGCTACAAACTGACAATGACTCTCCAATGGCAAAGAATGAGAACCACTGATGCCAGGGATACTTTCAAGATGGGGAAGCAAGGAGATTACTCGGAGATAAAAGATCACAGATCAGTGAGGGGAGCCTGGGAGATTACATGTGAGAAATTGTCAAGCAGGAGTGGACTGGAACTCTATTTCGTGACCTGAGGGCACCACTGATACCCACCCAAGTATCAAAAAAGGCCCCACTACCCTGAGTACCAGAGGTAGGAGCAAAATGTATGCAGAGGAGATCTGTCTTCAGGTTTCTATGTGTTAGGAATGCCAGGGTGTTTTGGATCCTGTTGAAGAGATAAGCCTGTAGACAACTGAGGGAGCAACAAAGAGGAAACTTGCATTCGAAAAGAACAATTGATATAGGAAAGGAGGAATTGATCTGTGGGTTCTTGGTCTTGCGAATTACCCCTAGTGGAATTCGTTATTAATCTCATTCAGTGTTGCTCCATAGAGTGTCCTCTACAAAAGGCAATTGCATAATTGCCTTCTTGGAAGGCAGCTCATCCATCCAGCACTTTAACCAAAGACCTTTCCAAGTGTGGAAAAGTCAGACTAAAGGCAAGACAACAAACAATTTGAGTCCAAAAGGTGCATCACAGCGTATCTGGAACCAAAAAAACAAAACTGAATATATTGTAGCTCTGCACAAGTGACCATTATTGCTAAAAATGAAACAAAACCCAAAAAGTTTGGGTTGTCAGAAGAGGAATAGATGGGAAATCTTCTAATGGGGACTATAATTTGTGACCCTGCTTACCACTAGGTCTTTGGAGTGATTTTCTCTCACTTACTGCTATGGCTATTGGACAGGAAGTGAATGAAAATCTCTCCCATAGGACACGGATAACAATAAAGCTAAGCAAAGGGGTTATAACCTTCCTTTACTCTAGCCAGAAGAAAAAGGTTTTGGCGTCAGTTCTACTTTAAAAGCTAGGTGCATCTCTGGCTAAAGATAAAAGACGGGTTGAAATTTCCCCTGTATATCTTCAAACAGCTAGAATGCCAAAGGTCTTCAAAGCTGTAACGTTTGCAAATGGAGGGTTTGCTGAAAAGAACAGAAACATTAAAACAAAAAACAAACAAACAAACATTCACATTGTACTGAGAAATTTCTGATTTAATCATGATGTATAAAATTATACAACATGATTTATAAAAGTATTAAACATGTTTGGAGAAATGACAATTGACAAAATATATATTACTTTTTTGGGGGCAAACATTACAATAGTAGAACAGGGACCTAGTGGTACAGAATAGTGAGAAGGAAAGTCAAACAGGATGCAACTCTTACCAGTACAGCTAAGTCTGCCTGTGATGCACCCCCAATCATATTTGGAACAAAGCTTTTATGTCCAGGAGCATCAAGTATAGTAAAGTGTTTCTTCTCCGTTTCAAAGTAGGCACGGCCAACCTCTACAGTTTTACCTTTGTCTCGTTCTTCCTGGTTTGTGTCTAAAGCCCATGACAGGTACCTGGAAGCAGAAAGCAATTAGGTTAGCTATGAACTATAGTCACATCAGAAGATAGATAATTTTTTACACATTTTTCTCTAGTAGTTCATTATGGACTTTAGACCTGATTCTGTGACTGATTGGTATAGCTAATGCATATAAAAGGTTGTACACTAGGCAAAGCAAAGGGCACAGCACCATTTAGTTACTATACCCCTGCATGCACAGTACAAGCGCTCAGGAGTAGCAAGCAGTGAGTAAAGGTAATGGAAAATAACCTCAACCATCTCAACTGTGGTACCAGACCACTAACAAAAACCCAAGAGAACCATAACAAGGGAGGAAGATGTGTCCTAAAACAATCTACTGGAGGAACGGATTTTATGGAAAGTACAAAAACACTAATTAACCGAGTTCACTGGAGGACACTAAACCTCCAGTTAAAGCAAAAAGCTCCAGATGTTGGAGAATCGATGGATGTGGGTCTCTAGCCATGTTTTTGGACCAGTCTGGTAGACATTGCCATGACAGCAGGTTGCATATCAGGACATGTCTTAAATTACTCTAAGCTTTTGTCAACATGGTCCTTTAAATCGTGATTTCAACGCGGACTTTTAAGATTCTGTTAAGGCAGAATCCACAACTTAGACTGCCCGTTTATGAACTCCACTTTAACAGTGTTCGTGTGTGGTGTGTACTTGGATTGAGAACTGGCTAAGTGAACGTGTCAGGAAAGTAATAATAAATGACTCATTTTCTAAGTGGTTCTTGGTTGGCAGTGGCAAGTTCCAGGGTTCCGCCTTTGGGCAGTTGCTGTTCAAGTTGTTTCTTAACAATATTGGGTCTCGTATTATTAGCAATATTACGTTTTTTGCGGATAACAAAAGTTGTAGGGTAATAAACTCCACAGAAGACATATAATTACAGAAAGACCTGGATAAAATAGGTAGGTGGGCATCTGCATAGCAGATGAGGTTTAATGTAAAGAAGTGCAAGCTATGCAGTGTAGAGTTGAAAACACACATTCAAGCTACTCATTAAAGAGGAATTTTACCCATATCTTTAAAATAACACACACACACAACCCTTTAGAAATGTTTACCAATGACAATCTACAAACACGTACTTCTAGATAATTGCAGGCTTTGTATTCTTTGCATACCATATTTCTCTTTTCTTCCCCAGTCTTCTGACAGTGGCTATTTTAACTAAAGGGTAAATTACTAGATCTCCCTTTGCTTTCTGGAACTCTGGCATATGTGACTAGGACATGTGACCATGCACATCATCTCAGGGGAGGAAAATGCCTTTCCTTGAGATCTCATGATTACAGGATGAGATTTCCCACCAATGCACTGCTGATGCAACCTTCCCAGGATGCAAAGCTTGGGCACAATACATCATTTGTGCCAAAATCGACCAGAAAGTGGATAAACTCTATTTTTAAGTAAATTAAAAAAACATGTTTAACTAATGTAATTTGATTTTAAAAGCTGCTGATGTGATTGTTAGTAAAAGGTGGGTAAAAGTTCACTTTGAAGGGCGTTCCACTGGGGGAAATCAGAAGGAAAAAGATTTGCGAGTCCTAGTGGACAACAGCCTTATTAACAGCATGCAATGCCAGGCTGAAGCAAGTTAGACAAGCATGGTGCCATCATTCATAAAAAGTTATGCAGTATAAAAGAGAAATCCATAATTCTGCCCCTCTACAAAACACTGGTTTGGCCTCATGTTGAGTATGCGGTTTAATTTTAATCTACAATCCACAGAAAGGATGTCCTTGAGCTGGAGAGAGTCCAGAGAAGGGTGACTAAGGTAATTAATAAGGTAACAGGGGTTAGAGGACCTAAACTATGAGGAAAGACTGCAAGCATTAGGCTTGTTCACTCTTGGAGACAAAGGGACATGATATTAATGTACAAATTGTTTAACCCTTTCGCTGCCAAGCCCTCCGGAACATTTATCTGACTAAAAAAATCTTTACGCTGTGTTGGTGTTTGCGTTTTGATAAAATGATACAGGCGTATATTTAATTGCAACACCAGTAACAAAAAAAAACCAAAAAAAGATACAAACGGAGGCACGATGGATATACAAATTGAAATCCACCTCCAGGCCTAAACGAGGTGCTCAGCTATAAACCCTTCTTATAAGGCCATGACTGGGAAAGGGATATTGCCTGGTTGGGATTATCATTCACGACTTTTGGATTTTCCTAAAAAATTTAAAAAATTGTACAATTGATGGAATATTTATCCTCATACAATCATGTTTGTATTTATTTGTTAATTTATTTCTATTTAATGATCAAAAACGTAATTATCTAAAGATGTTTGGGATTGTGATTTGATTTGAGCGTTATTGGGGAAAATGGAGCGTTCCATGAAGATGGGAGTGTGTGGAGTGATGTGTATATATGTATATTTGGTGACTGTGCTGGAGGAATTTTTGCCCCTTCTGCCACCACTGTCCACACTGGGGACCTATGGGCTCCATCACTCGATGACCCCACACTATATGTGTAAATTACAGTGTTCAACATATAGAACAAAAAACTATTGCCAGGCAATGTAGGAGGACAATCAGGTCTACCGCTCGCTGCAGGACCGGAGGACGGCCTGTGCTGCTGATGTCCCCGGTTACCATAGAGGCGGCAGGACGCAAGCGTGGTACGCGCAGACCAATCTATGTGTGGTCACAATCATGGCTGCGGGACGCAGTGCAGTGCACATGCGCGATCAAACGGCACAGATGGAGCCCACACCGCCGAAAGACAACCTAATACACTCAGGTGTGGGAAGTTCTGCCGGCGGTGGTGGCTACCTTAAGAGGGGGGAGGGGATGGGTAGGAGGTATAGGAAATACAGGACTCAATGGTGGCGACCCACAGGCAGAGGACACAGAGACAGCATTAGGAAGCTGGGGGACCGGACTAATAGAACCGAGTGGAATCTTTGTCCCTTTTACAAAACCTTGCACAGAACTGACAGGTATGTGAAATTAAAGATATGCCCGTCTGTAAAATTAAAAAAGGGAGATGTTGATACACACCATATGCCTGGATGGTTGAATATGAAGATCTATATACCCTTGGGGTAAGAGATCTGATTTTGAACTCCTCTTGGATGAGGTGAAGATTGCGGTGGGTTATGTTTGTCCTATGGAATTTTTCGGATATTTTTGGGAGGGGGAGGAGGAGGGATCGGATACTCACTATGTTCGACACACACAGGTGTAATCACCAAATGCATGACTGTAAGACACTAACCCCCTAGGCGGACACATTCATTTTAAGCCCCGTTCACACTTAGCGATTTATCGCGCGGCAAATTACCGCGCGATATCGCTCCCCAATGCTTCTCAATGGGGCAAAGGGTCCTGCTGTCGCGGGTCGTGTGTCGCTACAGCAGGACCCTTTTTGGAGCGGATTTATCCGCGATTCAAGCTTGCTCAATGCAAGCATTTACGCGATATCGCGCGGCAAATCTCGCGATATCGCGCAAAATGCAAATCGCACGACAATCGTGCGATTTGCATATCACCGAGTGTGAACAGGGCCTTAGGTTGATCAATACTACAGGGATATCTACGGACACCTTTTATCAACATTTTTGAGACCTCACTATATTCACAAAATGATTAATACTATGGTGACAATCACAGATGGATGTTTTGACTTTAACACAGATATATACTCTTATACACTCACATATAATCATGATTGATTTTTTATTTATTTTTGTAGTAGAGGTGAGGTGTATATACTTCTATTATCAGCCAGAAGGATGGATTACGATATGGGTGGGAAGGCACACTTACTACTAATTACAAGGATAAATAGAGATATCTAACTGGTTAAAGGGAGTGAGCTCTTTTTGACTTCTAATATATGGAACTTGTTGAAAAGGGTGGAGGCACGTAGAGATGTGTATATATGGGCACAGGATTTTGGACTATGGTTCTTGTACCTTATGTACAACACTAAATGAAATCATATGTAAAAACAGGTATATGGAAGTTGAATCACAACAACATTACAGATAAGACTACCATTGTCAACCATGTCCTCTCGCCAAAACCTGGAATCCCTCCTATTGTGGCACCGAGGTTCCGGTGTCAGATCTGGGCGGAGTGCTAAGATTGGAGGAATCGGTTCTACATCCACACGTATCCAGCTACTCCCAGTTGGTGGTGAGTGCCGGGTGTGCAATGGTGACAGTGGCTTTCCCTCTGTTTGATCAGGCTGCCAAAACACATCTCTCTATACACTCTATGCTATTTAATTGATATATGCAATATTATTGTTGATATGTACTGATTGAACCACTGTTCTTTAATAGATCAGTCTATAATCCCCTGATGAAGCAAAGCTGCGAAACGCATAGGGATCACAACACATGGCAATGCGTCACAAAGCTTTGCCATGCGCTGCCAGTTAAAAAAAAAAAATTTAAAGAAAAAAATTAATGCACCGCAATGCGTTCTAACAACGCACTGCAGCGCATGTGCATGGCATACACCACAAAATGGTGCACATGTATGTTGTGTGTGTGGGGGGAGGGAGGGGTTGTGTTTTTAAAAAAAAATTTACACATTTTTTACAATATTTTTTTAAATAAATTTTATTTTACTTTTATTTTGTAATTCTATTTATTTTACTATTGGGGGGAGAAATATTTTATTTTACTATCACCAGTTTATGAATGGGGAGGAGCCTCTGTAGTGAGTGCTAGTCCCCATTCATAAATTCTTGAATGAACAGAATGTGATGTAAATCACAGCCTGTTCATTCATAACTGGGGACACATAATACTATGTGTCCCCAGTTATTAACAAACACTGGAGTGATCAGACGATTGCTCCGGTGTTTGCTCTGCACAGGAGGATCGATAATGATATTTATCGATCCCACGCTCGGCCACGCTACAGAGCCGCTGTCATCCCAAAACTCACAGGATGACAGCGGCTCCGTTATACTTGCCGCTCTACCATCCTGAATTGCGGCCAGCCGCCGCTCGCTC